CTGCTGTTTCACATGCAAATGCTGCCTTTCAGTAAAAAGCCTGGTGTCAGGATCCACATGCACATTAATATCACTTTAGTCTACCTAATTGCTGCCAATCATGACCTATTGCAATGCCAGCGTTCTCAGACTGCTCATTGGACACTCAATTTTCTTGAATTAAGTATTGGCAAGATCATGTAATTATCTTCAGCATTTTCCAAAAAACTCCCTTCTCTGATTCTATTTCCCTCTCTGACCACTTCCTCAATCTGAACCAGATTGCTTGCAGTCTTGGAATCCTATCTAACTTTCAGCAAGCTTTCAAACTCAAGATGCGAGATTGCCTCCCAAACTTCACCCTCCTTTAAAACAAAATGCTCTGACCAAGCTTTTAGCTTTCAATCTCAATGCCTCCTTCCTTGCTTCACTTATTTTCCTTTTGAATAACTTCCTGTTAAGAATACTTCAATGTTTTCCTGTGCAAAATGTCTATATCAAGTTAATTTACAAGTGCTTGCTTCTTGTTTATGTTTAGCTGACATGTTGCAGCACACAATTTCGTGGAGATCACATCTGCTGTGTTTATTCAGCTACATGAAACATTTCCCATAAGATTCAGCTGTTTCAGAATCACTAGGTAGATTAATCATAATTGGACACCAAGGAAATAAATGCTATAAGGATAGGGTAGGAAATTGGACTGTTGATGGAAGTTCAGCCACAATTTTATTCAATGCTGGAGCAGCTCAAAAGGGCTATGTGGCCTCCACCTGCTCCTACACCTATGTTCTTGTCAACATGGTCTGTAAGCCTACACTGCAGGTAAAATCATATGCTAACATTGATAACAGGTTTGAATGCCAATTTTGGCCACTTGTCAATGCCGCACGGTTGATTTGTCATCTAACTTGTATTCAAATGCAGGATTTTACAACTGGGACTATATGTATTTTGTGTAGTCCTGGGCCATCATGTCAGTGGCAATTCTGTCAAAATGGTTATTTAATTAGGCCCACTTCTGCTCTTGACCCATTCCACGGTCAACGACACTTCTAAAACATAACAGATTTACTTTTTTGGAAATTAGTTTTGAATCTGCTTCAGGCAGAGCAGTCCTGGTCATCATAACTCCAGGTTGTGAATGTTTTTCTCCTAATCTTTCCTTGTTCTTTTTAAATTGCTGTCCTCTGGTTATTGACCTATCCATTAGTTGAAACCGTTCTCTTTATTTATTCTCTTAAATGGTGGAATATCATAATTCCACTCATCATGGTGGAGCAGTCAAATATATTTATGAGAAATCCTTAATATGAGATAAACAAGCAACAACTTCCTACCTCCACAACTCCCCACCCACTCTCATCACCTGAAGGTGGGAATATAAAACTATCCATTCATCTCAAAAGACATGGAATCATAGACAGGGTTTCAGTTAAAGGTTGTAAGGCCTCTGTCTGCTACAATCCTAAGATGTAATTCCAGGTCGCAAGTATCAACAAGGACAGGAACATCAGTGTTGTAAGTTTAATATAATTACGAGGTACAGTAGCACAGTGTCAGAGGCACATGTCAAACCCCTCCCCTTGTCCAATTAGGAGTATTTAAACCCATTTAAGACAAAGATAAGGAGACTTTCTTTTCACTGAGGGCTGAGTGTCTTTGAAATTCCCTTCCTCATAAGGCAGTGGGTGCAGAATTTTAAAATAATTTTAAGGGAGAGGTATATAGATTCTTGATTATGAAAGGGAAGAAAGATTATTGGGGATATGCAGGAACAGAGAGTTGAGGTTAAAATCAGATCAGCCGAGTTCTTATTAAATAGTGGAGTAGGCTCAAAAGGCCGACTGGCCTACTCTTGGACATATGTTCATAATATTTAATCTGTGGCTGCATTCAGAATGATCTAATGTTGATCAGTCAAAGGCATGATCATCTAACTGTCAGTTTTTATCATTAATTGTTTGTAATCGTTAGGTTACTTAACTTACTGAGTATAAAATGGCCTCCAAGGTAACCTCATAGGAGCAGAGAGGCTGACGTTTCGGGCCTAGACCCTTCATCAGAAAAGGGGGAGGGGAAGGGGGTTTTGAAATAAATAGGGAGAGAGTGGGAGGCGGATAGAAGAGGGATAGAGGAGAGGA